AAAATGGAAATTAGGTTCTAATCCAATGATTTTTTGCAATGTCTATTAGATAGTGATCTTAAAGTATTAAAACTACATATGAATATCATTAATGCATTCGAAAACTTATAAATTATTTATCAGAAAATGTTTCAACATACTAAATGCAAGAAAATAATAAATTAAAGAATGTTACCCATTAGTATATAAGACAGGAATACATAACATCAAATGGTAGAAAAAAATCAACTTTGAACTATTCTAATTTATTTTTTAACCAAGCTCTCAGAGTGAGCAATAGGTTTCTTTTTCTGGTACTGAAATAGTGATAAAAATCCGAACATTAAAATCAAATATAGTCAATGTTGCATCAGATAGGAATCAAAATTTTGTATTTGTCAAACAAATTGTTTTAGAATGAGTTATAAACTTTAAAAAAGGTTATTATTTAAAAAAATAATTTAATAATTTTAAAGAAATTGAGTTTTTTAATATTTAAAAACAGTATAACACGAACAGCTGCATCTAAAACATTTTAGTAATTTGAAGTACATGTCTATGACTGATCATTAAAAAAATAAAGGTATGCAATGATATTTTTGGTAAATACAATAATATGCAACTTCAGAAAATGCATTCATTTATCAAAAATTTCTTTTCAAAACAGTTTTCATGTAAAAACTCATTTATAAACAAAATATCTTACTTAATAAGTCATGGGTGAATTGATGTTAAGATCAATGAAATATGAATTATGTAGTAGAAGATACCACGAACTTTTGAAGAATCACAAAATCTCTTGTTAATCCAAACATATCTTTATTACTTCCCGATTACATGGCACGTCACAATGGGGACAATCTGCACCCCACAATTTTGATTATACAATCAAAAGTCGTTAATTCGGACACCCATAATCCGGAATGATCTATAATCCGGACCTCAAAGCTAAAAAATTTCTGCACATGCGCCGCGTTGATACATGCGCATAGGCGTTTACGCGTGCGCGTAAGACCTCTTACGACTGCGCATTTGCGTGTGCGCAAGCGCAGAATACGTTTCTGCATGTGCGTTTTATGTATAACGGACGGTATAATCTAAAGTTATCTAATTATCTATTTCAGTTAATGTTGATGATTGCGTTGTTCCTTAATCTTCGAATTGGATCCGGCTTATTATTCTTTGCAGACTGTAAGAGCAATTTTATAAAAGTAAACTTGAACTTTCGATTATGTCAAATAGAATTTCCGAATCTGGAGCTCCCAAAGGATCGTACAAAACGAAAGTATGTTTCGATGTCCATCAAACAAAAAGTGGAATTGCTGCAAAAAATGGATAAAGACATGAAGAATGTGACAGAGAGGTCAGTGAAAACGAAAAATTTCGATTGACAAGTTAGTCGGTATTCTCGGCATAGCAATTAACGGGACTTAAACAGCGGAACTTTGTAACTGAACAAAAAATTATGTCTGTTTATAGAATTAAAGACAAAGTATTATCACATAAAACGAAGCAATTTAAACAACTTACATTGAAAGAAATGTTTAATAAAGTAAACAAACAAATATTAAGCTTTTTTCTTGTAAATTTTGATACCCTTTAGATCATAATTGTTCTTTATTTCATAAATTACGGTTTCATATTTTTAATTTTAGAATTTCTGCATACCATCTTAAAAAATTGCAGCGAAAATGTACGCTCAAATGCGCCAAATCTAGCGTACACGCTGATTTCAGATTGCGCAAGTTTATATAGTTTTATATTTCTTAACACGCCATTGAAATACTAGTTTAATTTTTAAATTATTTTTTGATTTTAAATCCTTTTTTGATATCCTATGGATTTCACAATTTGGGAATTGCCCATGACGAAAAGTCGGCAATAGAATTTTGGGTAATGTGCAGAATCACCCACTGCTTGACGAGTTTTTAAGAATTGCAAATACTCGGTATCCATGTGCACATCGACCTATTTTTACTTTAAAAAAATCCTAGAATTGCACAAAAATGGCACTGCGCACACCCTTGACTTTATCTATATAGACGTCGACCTATTTTCACTTAAAAAGTAAAAAGAAAATTGACAAAAATCTAATTGTTTTTACCCTTGTAAAAAGCAACAAACAAATAAGTGAGTGATTCTGCACTTTACCGAGAATATTTTCAAAAGAAAAGCATCATTCATTATAGAAAATTACCTTTGAACAACCAACGAGATGAAATTATGCTTTAGCGATAAGTCGGTAGTGAAACAGCGATGCAGGCATCCATTCAGTCATGTTTAGCCTTTTTCATATAAATTATAATAATAAAAAAGTATTATATGAAATTAACCTTTCATCTAAATTAAAACATCAATCTTAAATAGTTATTTACTGTTATACTTCCTTTCTTGCCGCAACTGTTAGGGTTGCCGCAATTATTTTTGGCAGCATTGGCATCAACAATAGTTTGGCGATTTTTTACGGCCCTCGAAACCGAATAGTACCAGATTTTCTGCTTTAGTTATTTTTGAATATTCTAGTTTCAAAATTTTAAAGTGCTAAAAGCAATCATTTACAAGTTTTCAGATATCTTCAGCAAAAAAGGGAATAAGTGGTTTATTGCTTTGATAATATTCAAGGAAAGGCAATAATATTTTCGACAGAGAGAGAAAAGAATTTAATTTTATAAGAAATGTTTTATCCTTAGTTGCCTCCAAAATATTTGAGAAGGATTTCAATGAATTTTTTTAAACAGCCTCATTTCAACTTTTTTAACATATAGTAGCAAGTCATTCCATATTTCAATGGCTCTTTCAACTGCTGGGACATTTTGCAACCATCGGTAACAGCAGAACTTCACAGCAGAAAATTTTAATTAAAACATTACTTCTTTATCTATCAGATGATGGAGCAAAGATTAAAATTCTGCAATAATTGGTTTTATTGTTAAACAAAAATGTATGAATTTTTCTTACGCATTATATTTTAACACTTAAAAAATGTACTATATCGATAAAAAATTGCGACATCGCAAAATATTCTAGGCAAGCATTCCTGCAGAGATTCCGTTACATCGCTAAAATTGCCATAAGAATGCTATATTGGCAATACCATGAACACGTTTTCCTCCGTGTAGCAAGCCATTCCGCTTATTCGGTTATTTTCTTTTAATTTATTAATCTTCCGTTTCTTTTATTTTTTCCTTATCATTTCAACACTGACTTTTTATTCAGGATTTAGCTTTTATTTTAATTTCTAGTTATAATAGGTGAAATTAGCTTAATAACAAAAGATAATTTCAATCATTATCACAATGAAATTTTATATCGACCATAATACTTCGTGTTAAAATTCAATAAAATTTTTTTGAAAGCAGCATTCCTTTTATTAAACCAAATACTTAATTGTCTATTGAAGCTTCAAAACGTATTTCCGAACTTCACTTTTTCTCGGCTAGCGTTACCGAATTTTGCCCTTGGCGACCTAAAATCGAAATGGAGCCAACAGATTTCCCGCGAAATCGATAACAGACCCTCTGCAGAAATAAACTCATAATCCCGATATCCCATACATATAGTATGTGCAAAAGAGAATAAACTCCGTAGAAGGTGATAAAAAATTAATTTATGGCTTAATTGAAACAAACACAGAAATTAAGCTAAGCAAAACCGTGTAAAAACAAATTGAAATGATAAAACGAAACTTAATTTTCATGTGAATTTTCAGCGCTGACTCTCCCATTCTAGAAATTTCAATTTGTTTCAGACAAAGACCACATTTAGCTTTAAGGATTGCCATCCATCAATATCCAGTCTTTGTAGTCAGCTTGATGAAGCCACAGTTTATTGAAAATGCACTTTCCAGGCATCTCGTTCCTATTGGCGTCGGAAGGGTTGTGGCCTTCCAGGTTGGAATTGCTCTAATTTTGGCAAATATTTTCAGAATCTCCCCCCCCCTTTTTTTTTCTCGAGCACCTTCATCATCACTTTCGCCTCTTAAAGAACTTCCGGCTTCACGCTTTCGTCACAATCTGCCTAAATTTATGGATAACACCTGTTTCGAAAGATTGGCGTGAATAGCCAATCAGACACCGATACTTTCGTTCGGGTAGCTAATTGTTTTTTTTAATCGTTTGCAACGCAAATCCGCCAACAGATTGGTTAAGAGCCGTGTAATTTTAATTCCATATTCATGAGAAATCGTAATTCACACTTAGAATGGCAATCATTAGAAATGATATAAGAAATGTCAAATGAGCAAAATTAAGGACCGTTTATTCATTTTGGCCAAAATTAAGGACTTTTAAGGACCAAAAATCATTTTTGAAAAATTAAGGACTTTTAAGGACCGTACGAACCCTGGATAAAAAGTTTTCTGGTTTTTCTACACAACGAACGTTAATGCCTCCCCTCCCCAAAATTGATCCCCTATAAGCTAAATTTTGAACGAAAAATGTAGCACTCGATTCTTGACACTGCAATTACAGGACTTAAACAGTGGGAACTTTGTAACTGAAGAAGTTATGTCTGTTTATAGAATTAAAGAGAAAGCAACTTAAACAACTTACATTGATAGAAATGTTTACTAAAGTAAACAAATAAATATTAAACTTTTTTTTTTTTTTTTTTTAATTTTGATACCCTTTGGATTATGATTGCTCCTTATTTCATAAATTACGGTTTCATATTTTTAATTGTATTATTTCTGCATGCCATTTTACCAGATTTAAATTGATGATCTATAATCTGGAAAAACCCTAATCCGGAATCATCGAAGTCCCGACGAGTCCGGATTACGGACTTTGTACTGTATTTTGATATCTTACATATACATAACATATCCTAAACGAAAAAAAAAAAAAAAAAGTAGTTTAAATTGTTATACTAATATTTAAAGTTTCTGATTATAAACAAAATATTATCTTATTTAAAGTAATAAAAATTGTATCTATATAACATATACCAAAATGAAAAAAGTAGCTTAAAATTGTTTAAGTATTTTTAGACAACGTTCAAACTAATTTATTAATTTTTCTTACCTTACATGCAAATTTTACACCTCTAGATACAGGAGGAACACAACTTGGATGAAATAAACACAGACATATTGCACACTGAACAGAAGGAAATTGGTAATGTGCTACTCTACAAAGGGGTGTGCACGGCCTTTGAACCATCCTACCAAAAAAAAAAAAAAAAACATTTTAAATGATATTTCTTAGGTTAGTAATGGATTGAACAAAGTACACAAAAAATTTTAATCAAAGTTTAATATTTGATATATTAAATTCAATTATGATTTTTTTAAATAAATGACATATTTTAACTTTTAACAAAATAATTTTATTCAATGAAAAAAACATAAGTAATTGTTAAATAACCATAAAAATTTGTAACAGACAAAAACTATTAAATGTAAAATAATAGCACTCCCCATGTCAAACAATGTTATTTAAGTTTATGAGACAATATATCCACTTTCATAGAGAAAAAAATATTTGATTAAATGATTTGTTATTCATAAATAAGAAAGACATACAAATTTGGTACTATCTGGTTATATTGTGTCCCCCAGTAAGAGGTGAATTCGTTGCCAACTTTGAAGAGCATTCACAAACTCACTGGCAATTTGGGTACCATTATGTGCATTTCAAAAATTCATCCAATGCCCCCTCCACTTTTTAAAATTCTTTGTCTTAGGTTTTTGCGTGGTTGTTCTCTCCTTGTATACAGTGATCTGTTTTTTGCTTTATAATAAAGGTTCAGAAAATGGCACAAACTCAGCACCATACACCACTAATCTTGATAGCCCAAGAACTGTTGAAACTTCAATCTATACTCTAACAACATTAAAATAAAAATGTTCCACTATAACTTGTTAGAATCATACACACACACACACACACACACACACACACACACAAAAAAAAAAAAAAAAAAAAAAAAAAAAAAAAAAAAAAAAACCTACAAGTGCTGAATCTGACAAATAACAGATAATATAGAACAACCATAAATTTCCTTACCGCCAAGTTTTAAAAGTTTAAGGGTAGCATGCTACAAAAATGCATTATTGTTTAAGAACTAATAATTTAATTGAATCTTTTCTTGTTTAATTTACTAAGTTCTTAATAGAGAAGAGCATCTTCAAGAATTTTCTTTGCAATATCTTATTGATGTTCACTCATCTGCCATCACTTGAAATGACAGGAGATTTTTTAGTATCTACTATGATATTCTTTTTTAGTGTTATCATTCATTTAAAATTTTAGAAAAAAACAGCTTTGATTTATTTGACAGCTTTGATTTCTTTTCTTCATCCTATCATACTGCAATGAAAAACATTAGACTGTGCTAATGTTTGATTCTCTCAGCTTGTGCACATTGTTTCATAGCTATTCATTCGCTATTAGTCTTTTTAAAGATATATCATTCATTTAGTATTATTCTTTCAGAGGCACATAACCCTAACTGCTTGTATAATCAAGTGATGTTAAGTATTTGTTTAAAAAAAAATTCATCATATTTATTTATCAACGATTGCCATTATTTGAAAGAAATTATATTTTGGATTACATAATCTTTTAAATAATTAACCTAAAAGTTACTAAAATTAAAACAGAAAGTGGCATTTTGTAACAATTTCTTTAGGTAATTCATTTTTTGAGATATTTACCTATTTCATTTGAGAAAGCAGGAAGCACTCAAGATCAAAATGGCCTCAGAAATGTAAGTAAATAACAAAATAAATAATAACTGATAATTATATCCATTTCCCCATAATAAAAAAGTAGGAAGAAAATAAATATTCCATTTAAGAGAAATAACTGGTGTTAGAGACTTTTCTTTATATCAAAATATGCTGACATACATCTTCTTACCAAAAAAAAGTCGTCTGGAGTGGTGTCGCAGCCAATCATCATGGCTGCCATCAGAGTTTGGCAACATATAGTGTTCAGCAATGAATCCCGCTTCACTTTTGAAGCAGATGACCACTATGTTCATGTCTAGAGAGGACGGGGCCAAACAGCCTTTGTTTTACAAAGGCATACAGCCATAACCCCTGGCGTGGTGGCGTGGGGCACTATTTTTTATGACAACAGGTCATCTTTAGTCACCCTTCGTACATCTTTAACAGCTCAAAGATATGTTGATAGCATCCTGCGGTCGGTTGCATTACCCTTCTTGGCAAGTCATCCCGGGGACATTTTCCAACAAGATAATGCCAGCTCGCATATCTATGGACATACCACTCGCATATCTATGGAATGTCTCCATGCAGTTGATACTTTTCCTTGGTGAGCAAGGTCACAAGACCTTTCACCAATTGAGCATGTCTGGGACATAGTAGACTGCCAGATTCGGGCACCACAAGATATCACAGATCTGGAGCGACAACTGATGAATGCCTGGCAGAATGTGTTGCAGGATGACATTAAAAACCTCTACAACTCCTTGCCTTGACGTATTCAAGCATGCATTGCTGCCAGGGGCAGTTCAACCAACTACTAATTTGAACACTCAAAGGGCCATGAACAGGTACTATGACCTTGATTTTTTTAATCATTTTATTATCTGTGTATGAGCTATATACATATTCAATTTAATCAAAAACAACCACTTCCTTCATGGTGCTTCGAATTTTGCAAAAGAGAGCGTATATTTACAAAATGCAATTTCTTCAAAGTTTTTGCAGTAAAATGCATGTTTATTCTGCTATTTTGGGGTTCTTGTCTCCTTTTACAATGAAGATCTACTTTTTGTCACCAAGAACGATAGGAAACTTTAAACAGTACAGGTAAACAAAATTGCTTAAGTATTTATACAACAGTGATATAAATTAAAACTATGAAAAGGATTACATTCTTGACTCAGACAAACTTAGTGAACAGTACTGTGAAAAATTATTACTTTTAAAAGTAAGCATTAAAATAATGTGATATGGTAATTTATTCTGCTTCCACTGCTACTATTTTGCAATGTATTTTGAAATCAAAGATTTCATAACCAATTGTTTCTTATGTGGCACGAATACTTTTATCAATCATTTTTTTAAAATTTGATACACAATTAATGGTATATAAATTTAACTCAATTAATGACTGATATCATAGGAATGTTGTTTACTAAGCTAATTATTTGTCAGATTTTCTTTCAACTTTTATTACCTCTTATATTTAAAACTTAAGTGCATATTTTGTCTTGTGAATCACATATTCAGATAAAAATTCAAATAATATTTTTATATTTGAAAACTCTATACATTGTTAGATACTTATTCATTAGCAAGGTACAAAATGATGTGAAAATTTATGGTACTCATGACTATCAGACTGGTGAGAGATCAAATTTTGCCAATTTAGTAGCCTACATTTTGGATGAACCTTTTTTTACCTTTTGAAGTCATTAAAAGTTCAGATTTACTTCAGATTTCAAACAACTATTTTTATTACATGAAATCATTGTGGTCTGGCTACTCTTTAACAACTTCAGATGAAAACAAAATTTTGGTGACTTTACTTAGCAACAGTTATGAAGATGATATTAAAAAAATCTGATGTGTACACCACATGACATCCTTGTACGGAATAATAAATTATACGCATTTTTTTTCATTTCATTTAAACTTATTGGATTGAATTAAATCTACTTCACCGACAGCTCATAAACCACAATAGAATAAATGCATTCTTTAAAATTCACTCTATTTGTTTACCATAGCAACACTCTGGCACTAGGTTCACTTAACAGTATTATACTTGGTTCATATTATAACTCAGAATGCAAAAAAATTATATCATTTAAAGAATTATCTAATCATTGCCACATGTTCTATTCAAATACTATAATAAAGCTAGAACAATGTATAAAAGAAATTAAGCAAACAAAACAAAAAAGGAACAGTTTTTCACAGACGATTGAGTATTTCTCATTCAATTAATTCAGTTCTCACTTCGCGATAAGGCAAAAATACATAAAAACTCCAGATATCTGTATTAAAAATTACGAAGTAAATCTTAAACACTTATTTCCTCGAAAAAATTCCAGAAAGGATTAAGCATGATTTAATTCACAATGAAGGCGTTATCTTTGTTGTTGCGAAGCTACATTTCTCTAGATTGACAACAAAGCCACTATCCTGCAGTTTCAAATGTAAACAAGCAATGGCCGACATCAAAAAAATTATTATGCTTAGCAGCACTTAAACAACTTTAAAATTGTTGATAATTCTAAAAATATTGCATACAGATTTACTAAAGGCATAAAACCCTTAACCGGAAGATAAAAAACAACATAATTCATTTTTAAAGAAAAAAATGTACAATTTACCAACATATAAGAGTAAAGAAACAGATCACTGAGCCGGGTAACAGAGTGGATATATATATAAATATATTTATATACATTTGGTGCGGCCGATTGCAACCAAAATACGAGGTGCACATCTACATGTTATAGCAGTCCTATATACAAAATTTCAACGTTCTGAGGCTACTCGTTTTTGAGGTATACGAGATACGTTCGTACAGACGCCACGAAAAATTCTCTTCAGAATTCATTTTAAAGCAGTTTTATAATTTTTTTTGGAGGAAAAGAGTACTTTATTCTGTCCTTACGTACAGATATCACGCAAAAACACCGTTAAATTGCATTCGATAGTGGTCAAAATGGATATTTCGTTGAAATATGATGCCTGAAACTTTTTGCAATTACAATACTTCCTTTTTACTTCGTACAAGGAAGTAAAAAGTACAACAGCCTGTTTCAATATTAAAATAAAAGTCCTCAATAATTTTCAGATTAGCCAAAGCAAAACTCATATCCCCCAAAGAACTAATGAATAACCCATAACCTACCAACAACTAAATTTTTTTTTAACATTACTATGCCTTCTAGACTCTGCAAAAAATCAGTCAATAAATTTTTAAATAAAACTGATTTTTGGAATTCACGCAAGTTTAAAGCAAATGTAGGTATTATTTTAATACACTACAATTTTTTTAAAACATTTAAAAAATAAATGTTACTGTCATTTTAAAAAGAAGTCCTATTTATTTATTTTAATATGGCAAAGAAATAAAGGCTATCTGCCTAATGGAAAGAATACTACCTTCACAGAGCACTTTTTAAAAGAAAGAAAACAATCTATACAGAAAAGAAGCACAAGTTTTATTATTAAT